TTTGAAGCATTTGCAAACAACAACAGAGAACATGCTGTCTCCATAATGTGTCGATATTTGTGCTCTGTTACACCATTCTATTTATGTGTGTTAGTACATGAAGATTGATAAATAGTGTCATCAGATTTTAACAAATCACGAAAAGGATTAAAGGAATATTCATCTCCTTGATTACATCGGAAGCATTTAAGAATAGAGGAATATTGGGTGTTGATCATGACACGAAAAGTAGTGAATATAGAAAAGAATTTAGAACGATGTTTCATTAGATATACCCAACGGTACCTGGTATAATCATCAATGAAGGAGACATAATATCTAGACCCTTCTTTTATGAGAATAAAAACAGGTCTCCCACACAAAATGAACAAGATCAAAAAGGTGTAAGGGAGCTAGTAAAACTTTTAGTAAAAGGTAATGCAATAAACTTAGTTAATTTGTATCTAATACAATTGGAAATGTCATGACCACTCTAAACTACTCAAACTACCAGTAGAGGCTAAGAACTTTAAATGAGAATGAGAAACATGACCAAGACAAAAATGCCACAAATAAAAGCTAAAAGATTCTGGACTCAGATGAAAAGATAAATCAACAGTAGAAGTAGTAATATCTGGAACATGTAGTTCAATCAATATATACAACCCTTCTTTTCTATAATTTGTCCTCATCAGCTTCTTGGAACATGGATCCTGAACAACATAATCGGAGAAAGAAAAGTGAATTAAAATCTTGAATCAAAGAGCTAACTAACTGAAATGAAATTCAAAATAAGCTGATGAATATATAATAAACATCTGAGAGCGTAAAGTGTGAAGAAATAATAGTCCTCACACCAGCCAATGTCATTTGAGTACCATTGGCTCCAAGTACAGATATAGAAGGAGGAGATAATGTAAATGCAAATAGCGAAGCATTACTGGTCATGTGATATATAGCACCTAGTCAAATACCCAAATAGTTCAAGGTATACTTGATAGACCTGAAGTGAACAAAACTACTAAACAAGATGCTGAAAGGAGAGACTCTCGTAATTGATGAGTTGGTTTCACATTGAGGGTCTGAAGAATATCGGATGTTCCACTAGCCATAATCATAACAAAAGAAATCTAAAACTATCAAGAAGTCCAAGACTAACTCTGGCAAGGTATCAAATCAGAGAAGAAATATAGCCCAAGCAACCTCACAAATAACCCACAACAAAAATAGCCCAAAGGAAGGACCCAAATTGTCCAAAACAAGTCCCAATGAAGCCTAACAAGCAATTAAAAGTAGCCCAATACAAGAAAAACAACCCACACCAAAACCAACACAAGAGCAGCGAAGCAGAAACACGAAGAAGCAAAATCAGCAAGCTACAGGGAGATCTGATGCCCCACAATGCAGATCTGAATCCCAGACTTCCAAATCCAAAGCTCAATGTAAAGACCAATAACCAACAAAGTCCAACAGAATTAAGGTCCACGAGAAGACCAAGCCCAAAGCCTTTATCACAGAAAACTAGTAACAGCCCAGAAAATCAAAGCCCAAAGCCTTAAACCTTGTGCAAGTATTCAACAACCACCCAACAGAGGCTAGCCAACAATGGAACAACCACCAAGGCAAACCAACAACACAAATCACCTAACAAGCTAGGAAGAAGAAGAAAACGAAACGGTAGCAACAAGCCAACAAACCAGACTAGCCTCCCTCCAAATCACCAGACAGATCCAATGCCACCAGACAAGAACAAACTAGCCCAGGCAAAGAAACAGGGGCAGTAACACTAGTTCACAGTGTAGCCGAGTGCCAGATTTGCCCAAATATCAAACTAAATCCACCCTAAAAGGCTTGAATGACTGAATGGAGTATCAATGGTACCTAATCGCACCCCTCAGGCAGAGTATCGTGCATCAAATTCGTAGAAAACCTTGAAATTTTTGGATCGAAGAATTTCGACACAATTTCTTCAAAATCATTCAAAAATTCAAAAAACCCTAACAAAAAACCACGAAATGAAAAATGAGGCAAACCATGGTGAAGCCCATGAAAAATCGAGTAGGATTGTTGTCTCTACTGTTATAGTTTGATGATATAATCATGACGTCATCCAGTGCAATCAGAAATTCTTCAACCGAGTTCTATTGTTTTATTAGTTATCTTTAGGGATTGAAATCCACTCTGATAGCATGATAATTTTGTTAAAATAAAGAGAAATAAGGGGAGAGAGAAAGAATACATTACTACGGCTTATAGTTTGATTGCAACTAAATAATAAAAGATGCAAATAGAAGTCCTTTTATAGTAGGGAAAAATAATACTAGAAAATGACTAATCTACCCCCTAATACTAAAACACTCTAACAAAGGGGTCCCTAGTCTCAACTCTCCAGAAGCTTTAACTTTTAACCTTGGTTTCTCATTAATCATAACAAAGAAATTCATCGTCTCTAAACATTCCATATGTCTCCACCCTTTTCCAAACCCTTTTGCTTCCAAAATGAAATTAAGAAAATTATGATCCACATGGTTATAGACTTTCTCAAAATCAATTTTCAAGACAATACCTTCCTCACCTCTCAATCTATAGTCGTCATCTACAATCTCATTGGCAACAAGAGCTACACCCAAAATCTGTCTCCCTCTCACAAAGTCCCTTTGAGAATAAAATTGTTTTACTTAAAAACTCTCTAAGCCTTAGTGAAATAACCTTTGCAATAATATTATAGAAGCTAGTAACAAGACTTGTAGGTCTAAAATCTCTCAACTTCAAGGAATGAATTTTTTTCGGAATAAGACAAATAAATGTGACATTTGTGATTGTATTCATCACCCCATTTTGAAAGAATTTCCCAAACAACCTCATCAAATCATTCTTTACCTCTTCCCCATAAATGTGAAAGATTGCCATAGTAAAACCATTTGAATCACAAGCTTTAAACGTCAAAGATTGCCGGAGTAAAACCATCTGAATCACAAGCTTTGTCTTTACTACATTCAATAGCTTTCCCAACTTCCTCAATCTCGCAAGGCCTTTCCAACCACAAAGCATCATTACTACCAATGGGACAGGGACACCACTGCAATCCCTTCAAAGTAGGTCTAGGACGCTCCATTACCAAAAAAAGGATCAATTTCCCCCTCAATTAATGCCTCACCCCCCTCTCAATTAATGTTTCATCCTCCACAATCACCAATATCAAGCTCCAATTTATCAATGATTTTCCTTACCTTTTTACCATTAGCCACCTTATGAAAGAATTTTTGAATTATTATGACCCTCTTTCATCCATTTTACCCTAGACTTTTGATTCCAACTAACTTCTTTATGCACTACCAGCGCAAACCTATTCTTGAGGTCCTTTTCTATCCTTAGAACTTCACCCATTCCCCCTTCTCCTTCTAGCCAATCAAATTACCTAATTCTATTTTCAATGATCCTTTCATCCTTTCAGCTTTTTGAGCATCTCCAAACACTTGTTTATTCCATATGTTCAGTTTTGGCTTTACAAACTCAAGTTTCTTCATGAACTTAAACCCCTCCCACCCATGAAACTCCCTCCACCATTCCCTAACCTTTCTCCTAAAATCAACATGCTCCACCCACATATTCTCAAATCTAAATGGACAAGGACCTTAGCTAAATTTAGAATCCTGAATGATAATAATATAATGGTTTGGAAGAATTCTATGCAAAACCTCTTGTCAAACTTCCATATAATAGTTCTCCCACCCAATACCAAATAAAAACCTACCAAACGCTTACACACCACCCTAGCACCATTAACTAAAGCAAATCCCTAAGTTTGACTTTCATAATAAAAGTATTAAAATCCACAATGCTCTTTGTAACTCTACCCCCACCCAACTTCTCGGCTGGGTATTTAATAACATTAAAATCCCCCTAATGCACCATCTAGGACCACACAAACCAAGTAACCCCCTAACTCTTCTCACAAAAGAGCTCTAAACCTAAGTTTATTTGGTCTATACACCCCGGTGAGCCACCAATCAAAACCATCCCCATGTCTATCACTAATTGAGAGAGTATCCACCTTCACAGACCATTTCTCCCATATTATAATAGTTCCTCCAAACCTAACCTTAGAAGACAGAAACAGTTTTTAAATTGAAACCCCAAACACTCTTAATAATTCTTCTATCATTTTCAATTTTGTTTCTTGCAAAATAACAACATCAAGTCCAATTATAACCAAGATATTCTTATCACTCCTCTTGCTTCACGATCCTAACCCTTTTTCGTTTCAGCCAACAATCTTCATAAGTAACTAACATTTTCTCCCCATCCCTCCTAACAATCTTCATAACGTTTTCTCCTCATAATTAATTCCTGAAAGTAAAATTTTCAACTCTTTAGTCCTTTTTCTTTCACACTTCTTGCATCTCCCTCACAGAAGCACAGGCACGAATATGACATGACACCGACATGCTGATGCGAAATTTTTCAAAAAAATAGGATACGGATACGTTAAATAGGTATTTAAATATATTTATTTCATGTAATGAAATAAATATATTTCGATAATAATCATTTAATTCATCATTTCGTGAATTCTAACAATTTACATCATGATATCGAATAAAAAATTCAATATTAAATATATCGATACACATTCCTCATAAACATTCTTAATTCAATAGTCAATGACTAATAGAATTTGTCATCATATAGTCACATTAACACTACTGCTTCTCTGTTCATCTTCCCATTTATTTATTTATTTTTTTGGGGTGGGAGGAAGGGGGGAGGGTGTTCTTCATCGATTTTGGGCTATACGTTTGCTGTGCTTAAAACTTTTGGAAGGCCTGAATATTGCTTGCACTAGGCCTGCATGGTATCTTTGGCAGTCGTTTAATTTTTATTAGTAGTTTGCTTTGGGTCTTTGAATGATGAGACCTTTTATACTGATCAATAGGTTTTATTTTTAGTGCTGTTTCTTCCCTTAGTACATGATTCTGTGAGGGCGAATGTAAGAAAACCATCGATTGGCAGGTATTTCCATGGAGGGTGATGATGTTCTCTTGGCAGACATAGATGTCAAAGTGGCTCCAAAAAGAGAGGAATGGATGACAACTCTACCTCCTGAAAGAAAAGTAAGGTCCTCTCTTGCACTACCTTTTTTTTTTTTTTTTTGTGCATTGCCATGTTATGCCAAATAGAAAAATTATTCTATGGTTCTTTGTTTACATGAATAGTAAGTGTTTTCTCTTCCATTGCAACAACCTTGGGTCAGACAGTGGCTCTTGATGCATGATCTTAAGCTAAGAGCTCACATTTGATCCATCTGTAACCGTGGTAGGGGCGTATTCGCATGAGTGAGGGCGAGAAAATTCTCGAGTCAAGAGCCTTGATAAGTTCCTTTTAGGACCTGAAATATTCAATTTGTGAATGCTGCTTGTAAGGCACACAGATATCGTGCCATTGCTGCTAGTGAAAGTGCATGGAATTAGTTCATCTTCCGTGAGACACTGCAGAAGACAAATACCCTATAGTTACTAGTTAGTCAGTCATCGAGAGAGCTGTTAATATTTCATCCATTTTGATTTCATTCGAAGGTCTTAACCCATCCTTCAAAGTGGAGTCACTGAGAATATAAATTAGTCATTTGTGATGATTTGAGTTGTTTAGGTAGTTAAGCATATTGGTGATTGGAATCATATTAGAAAGTTAAAATTATAAAATTAGCAGGCTCATGTAAACACTTTGATAATTCATAGTATTCATTGTAGTTCAATGTATTAAGTTCCTAAAGTTGTAAATAAACTGGCTAATGTAAGACACCTTGATACTTCATTGTTATTCGATGTTGAACTTAATACATCCTTAATTTATCACCTGGTAACTCAATCTCCTAATGTTTTCCTTTTCTCAGCCTGGTATGACTATGCAATCAACAAAGTTTAGCCGGAGTTCTAAAGAAGGACGTGGTGATACTAGCATCTGGACAGATACTCCTTCTGAGAAAGCTCAAAAGGCTAAAATGAAGTATGTATGCCCTTTGATGGTCAACATGGTTTAAGCATTAGGAATTTTGTAACTTTGTTTGTTTCACATGGCAGTTACCTAGAAGCCTACAATGAGGCTTCAGCACTTGCGTCGAATGAAGAAGAAAAGAAAAGAACAAATTCAGATGCAGCACTGGTGGATCAGTACAATAAAGCGAAACGGTCAAAATCTATGGTAGAAAAGCATAAAGAGGCATCTCGGAGCCATTCGAAGAAAAAATCAAGGCCGGAGGCGCTGACAGAAGAGTGGGAGGGGAATCACCCATGGAAGCCTTGGGATCGGGAAAAGGATTTGACTGCTGGACGGCAGAGTGTCAAATTAGATGCTGAAAACATGGCTCAAGGTCTGTCTTCCAGATTTTCTTCTGGATCATATCAGAGAAACTTCCTATAGGCCACAGATCAAAGGGGTTATTTTTATTTATGCCATAGTCGTATATATATCTGATTTGCCTGGATAATCTTGCTTCAGTATTTGGGGTTCCTCATTTTCTATGCAGCGTTATGGAGAATCCAGTTTTGAAGTTTACTTCTAGAGTTCTCGGTTTTCTTTTCCTTACTTCAATGTCAGCCATTACAGCTAGGAGTTTGATTAGTAAGAAAATTTGCCGGTCTTCATTTTTACTAGGTATCAAGAATTACAATCATCCAAATGATTGAATCTTTTATGAACTTCTCACTGGAGGGTGTCAGGCTCACCTGGACTGGCTGCACTGAGTGTAGTTGGAATGCCAACTGACAGATCAACCCGTTGATTTCATTTTTTGGAAGATTATCACCAGTCATAACTTACCTTTTTTTTTTTTTTTTTTTCAGTTTTTCTGATAGGTAGGAGTAATTTTTATCAAAACATCCTCTCTTCCCCTTATTCTTTCAGTGTTGCTGGTACAAAACAACCATCCCCTCCTCCCACTCCTCCGCGCCCTTCTGGCCAACAACAATCCCCAACCCTCACCCTGCATCCTCAAACCTTTCCCCACATCTAAACATGCACTGTAATCGTCATACCAGGCCATTATAGACATACAGTATTACTGTTTAATAATAATCTATAAGGCTTGGGCTTATGGGCCCTGCTTTCAAATTGAGGGAAAAACTGTTCTCGAAAAAACGTTACTATCGTGTTGAGTCTCATTACTCTCCCACGTGGTTATGGGGACGGGCCAACTTTCCACTTTGTTACTATGGAGTGGGGCGGTAAGATCATAGGTTGGCAAGCTCCAAATATCCCTATATGGCGGTTTATTATTGGTGAAAGTGATTTATTAGTTATCTATTCTAGCTTATTGTGGTATACTATTCATACGCATCTATTCTGGAATTTTGAAACTAAAAAGCATTGGGGATGCTCAATTTGCATTCCCCTCCCCAATATTCTCAGAAAATCTAAGTTGCTTAAGTAAATGTTTACAAAATTTCTGGGCACACGTTACTAAGGGAGAACTTGAAGCAATCATGGGGAGGACGCCATTTCTCTGCCATTATTATTTTTAGATCATTGCCTGCGTTGTTCCACTTTAAATGCAAGCAATGGCCAATGAAAGATACTCTGCATTTGATATTTTGGCAATTTCGTCCAAATCATACCATAAGAAAATTTGCAATGGGTCCCAATAAAATGTTATGGGACCCAATATATTTAATGATAGATGGAAAACTTGATTGACATTGACAAAATTCGAAGTCGAGAGAATCCAAATTGTGAACTTCACTTAAGAGATCAGAAGATAAAATTGACGAAGAAGACATAATATTAATATGTATCTAACACTCTCTTGTGTGGCTCGTCCACGTTATTGTATTGTATATTAAAGGGAGGTATCGTTGGTATGGTTTGAATTCGAAATTCGTTAGGCTTTGATGATATATATCATTAACTCATTTAAAAATTAAAGATAATGGAGAAGAATGTAACATAAATATAGAATGTTAATTTCGTAATGTTGGTAGCTTCATATCATAATCACTAGAATTTTTTGACTTTTTTGTTGATTATGAATGTATAAGCAAATTTGGGAGATGCATAGCAAAGTTTATCCTTAAAAGATAGCAGTTGTCATTATTGTGATTAAATAATTGAAGATGAGCAGACAAATGGAATAAAGCCTAAAGAGTAATCATCAATAAATCTGTCTGAAATCTGAGGAAAATGGTAGAGGAGACAACCATGGCTTGCGTGTGGGGACATGTCATTATCAGCCTTAAGTTTATGGCCCCTCCTCTTCTGTAGAAGCTGGTAAAGTTATCATCAAGCTTGGTTAATCTCTCGCTCTCTCTCTCTCCTTTGTTCATGATATAGATAGATAGATAAGGTATGATGAGGGTTGACAGCATTGTTTAGGACATTTTAGAGTGTGGAGAATTTAGCACAACCTCCTCGGTCCCACACACCGCCCCAAAACACCTACATTGCTTGCTTTGCACTAACTCTCGTTTGCCAAAGCAACCCCACTGCCACCCTTCTAAAAATAATTGAGCCACTTTATGCTACTACCAATGGTGTATAAATCTCCCAAGATCCTGTCCACCTCAATTCTGTTGTAGGTTATCTTATAAGTAATTTCTCCGTAAAATAGTGCATAAAGCTTATCCATAGCTTGGATGACAGTACTTCAATAGTTAATACACCTAAGGTATTGATTGATCTGATTCCTATGATTTAAGGTGATTACACAAATTTTGAGTTAACGTATTAATAATGAATAAAAAAAAGTGTGGCTAAGATGGTAGGATTTTACAGCTAGTGTGAAGCATTTGATTCATTTCAAAAGCTTCCAATTTTTTTGGACATTTTCATTATTGTATGCCTGCATGTCAACTTGTGAGGTTCAGAGTGGTGAATTTGCTTACAAAATGTATTTGGTAGAAGGCAAAAGATTGGATTGGGCATCTTGGGGGATTTTCAATTCTTTTTGGCATACTTTCTCTTAATTGCGTTCAATAGTAGATCACTCATCATGTATTCAAACGGGATTGACTTATATTAAGCGGGCCTCTACAAAAAGGTGGTGTGCAATCTAATATTTGAGAAAATTAAGAAAAAAAATTCAATGCAAGGGATCTAAATTTGCATCCGAAAGTATGTGTGCACTGTGTCATTAACAACTCGTATTGTATCACCGGGTGACGATAATCGATGAATATTTCGGGAGTGAAAGAAAGTTACATTATGGAAAGAATTAACGCAATTTTATTGGAACTGAAAGACTAATAGAAACTCTTTTATACAAAGTTCAAAATGAAAGTTAATTCTCTCAGAAAGAAATCAGATGTTGCTACGTTGATATGAAGATGTCAGCATCCCCAATCCATACTTAGATAAATAATACTTAGCATTAAAGTATTAGCAAAATCCTACAAAAATTTGTTCCAACCCTTTACTTAAATCAGATGATGTGTGGCATAGTGCTCTCAGAAAGAAATCTTTTTCTTTCTGTACCACCGACTTTTAGGTTGTGATGTTTGACATGAATGAAGTGCAAATTCATGCATGCATGCGCAACGGTAATTGACTCAACAAGACATTGCAGTCAACTTTACCCCTCTCTCTCTCTCTGGGCATCAACTTTTTTACCCCCTCTCTCTCCCTCTCTAGCTGGGCATCAACTTTTTTAACCTCCTCTATCTTCCTCTGTAGCTGGGCATCAACTTTTTTGCCTTCTCTCTCTCCTCCTCTCCCTCTCCCTCTATCTCTCTCTTATATAGCCTAATACATGAGACTCCTATCAATATAAAGTGTAAAGAGAATTAGACGTTGCACGCAATAAAACCTCTATATGCTAATAGACTATGTCTGTGACTTAAATTTTAAATAATAATAGAGTAATTTTATCGGTGCGTCAAGAATTATTTTTTTATAAGAAAATAAATTGCACGAAAAATAACACGTTGAAAAAATCACTTTGACTACTAACTTCAACTTTGATTGCATGGAAAAAAGTCATGCACTCCATCTTGTCTTGCAGTACTAAACTTCATTAACCAAGAAATCAAACACCGAAATTAAGTACGAGTCGAGGTCTAAAGATGTCACAGTATAATAAATAGTAAATCTAAACACGCGAAGCCTGAAAAGGCATTGCTTTAATTATTCTTCTTTTTGTATTCATACAAACACATATGATGTCCTATACGGATGCAGTATTTAATCAAGCAAGGACAAAAGTATATACAAGGACTACCTGCTAAATTTTGGAAGAATTTAGGTGGACCAGACTATACAGTTTTGAACATATGTAGAAGTTATAATACTATTGTCGAGGCAAAAATGATAGTTGGTTGGAGACTCGGGAGTTCTGCAGAAGAGGTAGCAAACAAAGATTTGGGGGGTAAGGAGCACTGATGTAGTGTCGGCCTAAGATTTTTCGACGCTCAAGTTAGATTTTGTGACTCTTCTGTCTATGCTGTTCATATAGACAAGAAGCTTAATGTAACCGTTGGAGAGTGGGTTGATGATATAGTAGCAACTGTTTGATTTTGTAAGAGTGACTTTTGTTCATAGCCACGTTTGATTCTCAAGTTTAAATGATCCTAAAGTCTTTTTTAAATGACTCCTTACATGTAACTGATACTTACTACACTTAATTAGCTCAGATGAAAGTCTCCCTCAGAATCATTTCTTTCTAGACTGTCTTTATCTTGGCCCTAATATGCTTCGTTTCCTGTGTTTTTAAACTGAGCTAGGGGAACATAATCTCTTATATTAAAATACAAGGATAATTTTCTAAATTTTTGCAGAATAATCGCCCTGTCCTCTAGATCCATCATCACTAAAAGTCTAAAGGACAGAGTGACTGACCTGCCGGCAAGCGTTCATGTCTGGTTGAACCTTAACCAGCTTGGTCATGGCTGGCTGAAACCAGCTCAGCCATTCCCAAACAAGTTTGGTTTGCCTAAAGCAGCTCAATCAATAACAAGAGAAATGACAAAAGGAGAATTACTGCAGAAAATTTTATCTAGGATAAATCATTAATGCCACATCACTAGTTTCTAGAATGTCACGTCACGCCTAAATATAACTTTTAACAACCAAATATTACCTCTCAAATCCTAAAAGAATTAGAGACCACCTCGTCATTGCTTGAGGACCACACTACTTTAGTGTATAAATAAAACCATTGCCTTGCCAAAACAATATGTAACTGTATCCCCAAAAAATTGTAACAGTCTTCTTTTTCAAATAATACAAATCCGTGAATAAGAGATTTCATTAGAGTAGACTGGCATAACTCTATAGCTTAGTGAATCATTTATTTTCCTTGTATTCTTGATACCTTTAACATTCGCACACTCGCACTCAACTCAACTACATCACTGGAGAGCTCTTCAACTCCCCCATCTCACACTTCTCGTTTCACTCACCATCATCTCACACTTCATTACAAATTTTGTTTT